GATTCTTTGTATTTAGATTTTTGAGTGCAATACAACAAACAGCTTTTTTTAATTAAAGAAAACTTTTAAAAAGGGAATTATTAAAAAAGAGGACGATCCACCAAATCTTATTGAACATACTTGCAAAGCCCTTGTGGTGTTTGTTTTGACTACTTGTGTACTGCTGAGAGGCTTTCCATAATTAAAATTTAGAAAAAGTGCCTTTTGCCAATAGAAGCTGTCATCCAGGTCCAGTCATATGCACTTTTATACCTTTTTTCCCCTCAGAGTATAGTCAGTCACTGAAAACTTGAAGAATATAACATTTCTTCACTCAGTAGTACCCAGAGGAAAGCAGTGACAGGTGGAAAAGTCTGTTCTTTAAGAACAGTCTCAAGGGAGAGAGAGCAGGTTTTCAGGGAGCAAAACCTTGATTTTATAGATTGAGATTATACTCTTTGAAACAATGGAGTTTGCCAGCAGAATGGTGGGTGTAAGTGCAGTGGCATCTCTGGTCTGGTGTGCTTTGTAGAGCACCTTGCCACATCCCTCGCAAGGCCACCCATTGGCAGAACTGCATCCAAACTGGGAATTTCACCAATGCAGCAACGTCAGTGTAGATGGCACGTACTGTGGCAAAGGTCTAAAGATGTTGGACAGTGTTGTGTAGAGTGGGCAAAGGTCTAAATGTGTTGAACGTGGTCATGTAGGACAGCCAAAGGTCTAGGTACGTTGAACACTGTTATGCAGAGCTGGCCTCAGATCCCCAGCTGACTTTCCTTCTGTGTTGGGATGCCTGCTATCAAGGGCTTTGATATCTGCTATATATAAATACATTGTGAAACCAAATACCATGGGATATTATAGAGGACAGAAGTGTATGTGGGTTCAACAACAAAGTAGAAAAAAAAAAATATGAATGGAGGCCCTACCCGCTGGCAGTTACTCAGGTGCAAATTTCAGGAGAGGAGGTGTCCAAGCAGCTGGTTGGCCCTTCTGAGATGTACTCTCAGCTTCCAGTAACCTGATTGTCCTGCCTGAGTACTTGTTTTCTCAACCAGAAACAGGATACGAATTTCAAAAGACAGAACTTGCCTTGTGTCTCGTTGGGACACGACAACCTTCCTCTCTGTCTTGGGCAACCACCAGGAGGCTTACACAAGCAGTACGTGGAGCAGAGCAGAGTGTGCGTGGACATGTTCTGGCACTGTTTCATCAGTCTGAATAGGTTACGTTGCCCATCAAAAAGGGTTGAAGCAGCAATTATAACATGTCAGTTTTTACTTCTGTGAATATTTATTTCAAAGTAACATTGAAGTATTGAAAGACTCCTGCAGCATTAGCTGGTATATTACTGCTGCAGGACTACTGCTGACATTTTAACCAGTTTTAAGTTATCATCTTTTTCTTTAGAAATGCTTGTTGTAACAAAGTTCCAGAGGAGCAGCTGGTCCTCTTCAGTCAAAAAACGTGGTACAATCTCAAGGAATTAGCGGTTAGACGTGTGCCTTTGAGAGTGGGGACTCTATGGAAAAGGCGCTTTTGAGGAGGCTGGGAGATGGAGTGGAAGTAGCAGCAATTTGTGTGTGTGTGCACGTGTGTGCTTCCTTACAGTAAAATCTTTGATGCCGTTACTTGGGCAGTTTCCTTACTCTTCTGCAAGTCTGGGAATAAAGGGTTATTAGATAATTTTCTGCCAGTGTCTCTTTGTATTCATTACTCTGGTTGGCAGAAGGCACAACCGGCCTGCATTTACGTCCTGACTCTTAAAACACGTTGTTTGCTGCTACATGCCTTTTTAACTGAGGGATCAGAGGCTTAGTTGTAAATGTGAGGAAGGCTCAGGATAAAGCTGAGTATACAGAATATTAACCTGAGGTCACTTATCACAGTGAAAGCTTTTTTGCTGTGGGGTTTGCTTTTTCATTCCAACCTTATTCTGCCCTCTGCTGGCGGTTCGTGTTATGAAGCAGAGATGGCGTTACGCTGTTTTCATGGTAGGGTTACCTGTGCTAGCTTGCTGTTTGCAGTCTGCTTTACCAAACAGAACTTGAATTCCTGTCATTAATCAGATTTCTCGCCACAGGTAACTGCTGTGCCCAGTAGATTTATAATGTATATTATATGAAGATGTGTAGTAAATACACTAATTTTGGCCTTCAAAAAATCATCCCAAGGTACAAGTTATTACCCAGGGAATAGTTACTCTGTCCTTCAAAGCTATATTTACTTTCTGAAGGCAAGCAAATTTCTGGGTTTTGGCAGGCGTGCTGATTCGTGAAGTCAAGTACTTGAGTTAAGAAATGCTAGTACTGAGGATGCCTGTGCTATTTTAATGCTACCCTTGCTGCATGCATATGCATTCGATGCCTGTACTTACTAGATTGTGTACTATTTTCCTCCACGTAGTTTTTTGCACATTGGTGTGTTGCACGTGTAATGAGCAGCAACTCCATGTATTTGTTGTTGCGCCTGTGACATAGCCAAGTCTGGAGTGCTGTTCTCCAAGACAGACTTCAGATTATAGTTCTGTCGACTTTCCAGTTTCAAAAAGAAATGAAGCAAGAAGCACTAATCACTTTGAACTTGGTTCACCTCTTGAGGAGGTTCATCCTATGCACTGAATAAGTGAAAGGACCTAAAAGGAAAAAATGCATAACGTGTAAAAGGAGGCAAAATAAGGACTGTGCAGACTGCTTCAATTCTGATACATCCTCATTTCTTAAGTATCTGGCATTACAGCCTTGATCTTCTTTTAATATTACCTGGGTGGGGTTGAGACATCCAAACTCTTGAGAAAACCAACCTGAAAAATTGTGCATCAACTTTGGATAGCTGTGGCAGTTGCGAGCAAGGCCGGAGCTTTTAGATCCACTTCTGCCAGTTGTGTTCATGAAGCAATCGAGGTAGAGAAGTCTGCTGTAGTTTTATTGACGAGCATAATGGGACATATTTTTGCCAGTGGGTTTCACAGATAGATGCTGAAAGCAGGAGAGCGATGAGAGTGAGCGCAAGATTTTGTGAACGTAATCCATGGGCATGGACTGTCTTGCTGTTCCTCTCCCCAGCTTATCCCCATCCTGGTTTCCATACTTCAGGTTCCACCTCTGCGTCTGAGTTATATCCCTTGCCACAAAAGACCTTAGCTCCTGCCTCTGCTTTTTTTTTTCTCCAGCCTGCACTTCCTCCCAAGCTCAGCCTTCCATCCTTGGGCTCTTGATCCAGTCTTGATTTCACCTCCTCTGCTGCTTCTAGCCTAAGTTGTAGGTTTCGAGTTGTTTTGACTGTCAGATCGCTGAAAAACTTTCCATTGGAGCTGTAATTTAACTATGCTGACAACAGGATTCCCTTTCTTGGCTACTGATTGCAGACCCCTTCAAAGTAGTTGCAAATCTTCGCCATGGTTGCTTTACTGAGCTGCCTCCTCTCTTCCCTGCTTGTGAAATCTGATGATAAATAGCAGCCAAGCAAACAAACAAGTGGACTAGTATGGAAGTGGGATGAGTCTTCGGTAATAAATAGATATTTATTTGACCCACAAATTCTAGTTGTAATTAACCAGCTGGGAGCTATAATCACAATTTTCCAGAGGCCTGGCTGCTCTCAGGTAGTCACCATCTGTGTGTGCAGAGGAGGATTAGAGATGGTGTTTGAAGGTGCTGCTTGGGGAAAAAGCAAGCTGTTATTCTAATGGGGGACAGCTGAGACCTGTGTTTTTCACCAGTCACAAGGGACCACCGAGGCTGGTTTTCAGCCTTCCTACAGAACCGTGCATTTTACAGAAGGGCACTTGGGATGCCAAATCTTTGCTCCCACAGAGAGGATGCCCTCGGAGGGGAGCCTGCAAGTGTGACTTTTCAGGAAGAAAGTCAGGGTTACAGTCTAAGTAACTTTTCCACTCATATTTATCTGATAAAATTAACAACTGCAGTTCTTAGACCAAAAGGGAAGGGCACTTAATTATAATTCAGTAACTTGGTAGGGAGCCCAAATAATGATTGCAAAGGATGTAAACTGTGCTGTGAAACACTGTGCCTGTTTGCACTGCAGCCCTGCTAAGACCCCAGGAGATCCTGAAAACAAGAAGAGAAAGGACGGCACTGGAGGCCCTGTCAGCCTCCAGTGGTACCTCCAAGGATACCATCCTCTAGCTGGTCTATCAAGTCACTAGCTGGTGAGCTTACCCATGGTATTGCAGAAGGTCCATCTAAGGTCTGTCAGGCTGCTTGTTCCAGGGCACGCAGGCAGCTGACCCTAAGGCACTTCGTGTGTCGCGCTCTGCCTGCCTGCCGCCTTAAATTGGGCTTTTCGGTGGCTAATGCTGTACAAAGAACTGGGGTGTCTGGATCCAGGTACAAAACATCCTTAGGCAAGCTCCTCCCAAACAAGTAACCTGCTTTCAGGTACCAACTCGAGGAGGAAACAAAGTGTTTCCTACCTGGAAAAGAGGGCAGGAGGGCTGCTGCCTCCGTAGCCTCATCCAGTGCTAATTGCTAGTTGTTGAAATGAGCTGGTGCTAGTGGTTTCCTGTGGGCAAGGAAGCTGTGGGGCTGTGTCAAGACATAAATATGAAGGCTGGGACTCCACATAGCATTAGACGACGAGAGCTGCATACCCCTTTTACTGCTTTCCTGAACTACCTTTTTCTTTTTTAGCCAAAAACTTTAAAATGAGGTTATTAACAAAGATGACTACGTGTTAATTGCATCCTTACGGTTTTTCCCAAGAAAGTTTTAAGTTTTAAAACAACCACTAACAGCATGCTTGTTTGCTCTGAGAAGAGGAGTCAGGCATGTACACTGAAGAACTGTGCTTGGAGCTCGGCAGTAGGTAGGAGACTGTGCTCAAGATGTATCCAAATCCCAGCTTGTTAACCTGCCCGCATACAAGTGTAAAGTCGTTTTTGTTGTTGGAGTTGTTAAATGCGGTAGATAAGCTTATTTTTGGTGGATTTTTTTTAGTTCTTTTGGATGCTTCTTTAGTTTTACTAACACTTTTTTTTCCTCTCTCTCTGACTTCAGCCATTGATGGATTTCTCAAAACTGATGAAAGACAAAGACTGGCAAAGGAGAGAAGAGAAGAAAGGGAGAAATACCTTGGTAAGATGTCAGGAGGTGTATGTATTATTTATGTATATGTGTTAATAGGCTTGAGTTACTAACATGACATTTTTTCTGTTCTGAATTTTAAACATTGTGGTTCAGTCTGTTCCTAGTCTTTCTCACTTATATTACTACTTTTAAGCTAAATTATAAAAAATAATCTGTCGTCTTTGATTTCCATTTGAGTATTTAATATTCTATAGTTACAAGTTGACTTTCTTCTTTTGATTCATGTACTTTTGAATATAGGTTTATGTGCAAGATATTGACTGTTAGGATTCTGATTCATAAAAATACCTAATAAGCCTTGAATAATACTCGGGATAATATGTAGGATGATTTGGTGAAACAGCCTCAATTTTAGTCTACTAAGTTTTAGCCATATTAAAAGATATCATGGAGTTGTTAAGTATGGCATAAAGCAGATACTTTTCCGTAAGTTTTAAAATGGTTAATCTTTCAAGAGAATGAGTAAAATTATTTTAATTAATTTCCTGAATAGCATAAGCATTGATTTCAGAGTTTTTAAAATAGTCAATTGTTTTTAATCTACTAATGACTCCAGGGAAATGTTGAGGAAACTGGAGAAAAAAAAGAAAAAAAAATATATACACACACATATGGGGGGGGTGTATACACAATTAATTTCATGCGTGTGTATATATATATGAATGAAACTAACTGTTCAACATTGTTTTGGACTTTCTATACATACATATATACATATGTATATATACTCACACGTATATATGTAAAATGTTAAACAGTTAACTTCACTTTTCCTCATTGTAATAACAAGAAAGGCCAGTAGCACTGTTCCTTAAGGTTACCTGACAATACCTATCAGAAGGAATTGTCCATGTTTTATGATTTTGTAAAATTTAAGCTAGGCATATATTTTGAGGAAATGTCAACTAAACCAGTATGGACACCTGTGAAAAGAATCATAGGAAAATACTGTTTTTCTTGCAATAAATAAACAAACAAACTGTTGACAACTTCTTGACAAAAGCTGAGGCTTGAGAACAGTGACTTGACGTTTTTTAGTACCATGGGCTTGGTGAGCAAGATTCCTTTTGGTAGTTCCTGTGAAAAACTGCCGGTGTTTAGTACTTAATCTCCCCAGAGGTTCTGTCTATATGGGGCATGCACCAGCCTGAGTTGTAGCTTACAACTCTTCCAGGTATACTCAGTCCAGACTCTCTCTTCTGTCCTCTTGATTATCCCTTCTTTGCTGGTTCCCGAGAAAGTGACGTGATGAGTAGGTTGGAAAGGACTTGGGTTAAAAAGCAGAAGAGATGAGAGGGAAACTAAAAGCTGGAAAATCTGGGCGTGGTTGGCCCAGGGGATTTGGAAGGTGTTGGCTGCAGTTCTTGTCTCCAGACATCACACGTGCCTTCTGGAAACATACTTTATTAGGGTTAAGACCATTTCCACAATGGGGAGCTCTGGGTTTTGGTCACAGTTTCTGTGGCAAATTTCTTTTAGAAGTTCAGAAAAAAGCAGTGAATTCCCCAGAAGGACAGATCTTCATGCAGCCAGCAGGTACTTTGCAGCAATATGGAATAACCTTTTTACCAAAGCCAAAACTCATTAATCAGTGGTTTAGTATCCCTAAATTAAGGAACAAGAATTGTATGTGTGTCCATGATGACAGAATGGTTTTCTTCTCTGTCCAGAATCAGTCCCAGGTTTCACCTACTTACTCAGAAGGTAATCTTAGCACAGTCTCTGGACACCTCACTTTATTTTTGTTTTTTATCAACTCCAGCATGCTGTTTTCACCTGCTCTACCTGATGTGGCTAGTAGTCATTAACAATTAGCAACTGGTCACTTGTCTTCCACTGTCTCTGAGGTAACTCTTTATCTGTTGACAAGTCTGATTCTTCATGCATACAGGTCCAGGCTCGCCTGCAGCACTGACACCCCTCTCATACTGCTGCCCTATCCTGGGTGGGGAGGAATAGTGAATTCTCATAAGGCAAAAGGGAAAGACAACATCAACTGTATTTCTAACAAGAATAAGGTAGAAGGTGTTCTGTAAAGCAGGTTGGATATGAGGAAGAAGTATTTTAGGAGGATCCCATATTCAGGGGAAAGAAATGCAACTGTTGGAAAAGGGTCTGGTGTTGCAGGGACTCTGGCTTTAAACCAAGGGCTTTTGAGGGTGGAGTGGGGCTAAGAGGGACTGAAGGTCATGGCTGTGGTTAAAGAGCTTGGGGGCAGGAGCTGAGGGGAAGCTGATCTGAGAAGAGGGAATTGAGATGGCTGGGCAAGAGCCTAGGACTGATGGGGAGATACTGAGAGAGAGCTAGAAGGGCGAAAATTTGCCGTATAAGGAAACGGGAACTGAAAAAGCAGACTGAGGCTGAATAGGTGAGCAGGATGAAGGACTAGGTCTTGTATAAACAGTGTTAATTCTGGCTTTCCCTAACTTTCAAGTTCTTAGCCTGGCAACTGTGAGAATATTCCTTCTTTGATATCGGCTGCATGTGTGTCGGTATGTGACATTACAGGCTTGCGTGTATGTAGGCATGCTTACTGAACTCCTCTTTCCTGCCTTTTTATGGAATACACTTGCGTGAGAAGTGGATTTTTGCTCATGATTTGTCACGTTAACTTCTGCTACTTGTTCTCCTATGTAAACCTGAAGCAACAGTCCTATATGTAATGTTGCAGTCTGAATTTCTGTAACAACAAGTTAATGTCTCAAGAAGATGATGACTCTAGTTGGAATAAACAACTGGGCAAACCCTCAATAGCAGAAGTAATTTTTTTTTGTCATGCAAAGAGGCAGAAGTGGATAACGATGTAGCACCAAATTATGAACAGAATGGTGTATTTTCAAAGCTTCATAGAATATTTAGCGTATGTTGTTTTCCTGCATTTATTTTGAAGGCAGCCCCATAATGAGAAGCACAGTTTTAAAGAAATTCCAAGGGCTTTTGCTTCAACATGTATTGTTTCACTGATTCACTTTAAAACCTACCGGGAACATTGGTTATGGCTGAAAAATGAATTTGGCTTTAAGCTACAGAAGGATTTGAAACATAAGCAAAAAAGACTTGTTAACTATTCTGTGCACTGTTTTTACATAGGTAAGGGCACAAACTGTCACCCTGTGTACAAAGGGCTTCCCTATTTATTTATTGAGCGCATCACTTAGATTTAGTAATCATTCCAGCACTTGTGTGCTATGTTTTTTATTTTAGTGGACTAAAACCCTGTGTACTTGTATTTGTTGTTTTACACTATTGTGTCATGTTAATCAAATAATTTTAAAGCAGAAGAAAATTTGCATAAAGTGAAATGCACCTTTTTCTCTGCCTAAGCTGCTAGGGAACAGCAGATTCTGGAGAAGGAGAGAAGAGCAAAACTTCAATATGAAAAGCAAATGGAGGAGAGATGGAAAAGACTGGAGGAACAGAGGCAGAGAGAGGAGCAGAAGAGAGCAGCTGTTGAAGAAAAACGGAGACAAAAGCTTAAGGAGGAGGAGGTAAGGTCCACTGGGAGATGTACGGCAGAGCGACTCTGTATGGTGGCATTAAACGTAGCTGAATATTGACACGCATTAAATGCTGATCTCTCTCTTTTTTGGCCCAGAGACATGTGGGCATTACTTCGGGAACTGCAAACGCACATCACCACAGCTATAAGTACTCTACTACTGCTTGTACATCAAAAACACTTTCCAAAGCTTTTTTTTGTCTCTTGATTTTTGTCTGATCTCACAGCATAGTCAGCTACTTATGCTAACATATCTGGGACTCTGACTGTCGGACAATAAAGCACCAGCTTTCCACAAGGTAGTTTTTAAAGATGAGTGTTTCCATAAAAGGGAAAGATTTTTCTTCCTGTTTTGTTTACTGTCCGTGAAACTGAAATGTTTATGAAAATGTTGTTTCGTTTTTCCTCAGTGACATAAATTCAGAAATTCTTACTGAAAGCAGTGAAGAATCTAGACTGGTTTAAAATTCTAGCACAGAACAGTATTATATATCTTTTGAAGCATCTTCATACGCTTCCTCTCTTCTACTCTGCCTGTTGAGATCGTTTAAGGTTCTTTTTTGCTCTAGTGAGTCCAATTTCTGATGCAGATCTCTGAATGTAGTGTGTGTGTGTCTCCGAATGACATTGTATAGAAAACACTAGCACTGCTACTGCAACTGATAAAGAATTAATGGTTTTAGGAAAGGGGGGCAGTGTTGTTTGTTTTGTGTTTTGTTTTGTTTTTTTTTTTTTAAAAGGCCAAAAAACAGTATTTCCCTGTTCCTAGATACCTGTGGATTTCTAGAGCCTTTTTATGACCCTTCCTTCTTTTCTGCCCCATCTTTTGATCAAAATATCTTTGCAAAAGAGGTAAAACACTTCTGCATGTGATCAGAGTAACATACTGCTGTCCACTGAAATTTTTTTGTTGATTGATTTTTCACTATAACCTGAAGAGAAGATTATATGCTGCCATTCCTCTTTCAACTGTAACATACTGATAGTGGCTTCTGAATAATAGCTGAGAATTCTTTTTAAAATATCTTGTCATGTTATTTGTTTCAAATTTTGGTGAGAAAAATGGCAAAAAACAGAAACAAAGGGTAGGAGGTCTCTCTACTTCTGTGGTAACATCATTGACCTAATGTGCTCCTTCCCCAGTATTTCCTGCTTTTGCAGCTAAGCAACATCAATCCCCTTTATGGGGGTTATAAGGGAAAGTGGCAAGTACAAAAACTTCCAAAACCCTGTCCTCAAAATTTGCACCGGAGGGGGGCAGGGAGGGGGAGAGGTGTAGGAAGAGTAAGCAACTGCCTGCTTTCCCTGCCTGTATGATTTGCCTGTGCTGGAGAAATGAGAGCAGGGTTGTCGGACATAAGAGAGGCTGTGCCAGGTTAGACCCAAAGGTCCGTTAAGTGGCGACCCCATCTCCTGTAGTGGCCTCCTGCACTTCTCCAGAGATGGACGTAAGAGGCTGAGCACTCAGTGATGTTTCTCCTAAGCATCAGCAAGCCTGTTATAGCTCTCCAACATCTCGTACATGTGATGGGAGACTTCTCTAATGGTGAGAGAAAGGCTGCCTCCAAGTGTTTGGTCATAATACGAATACCACCCCTGGCTTTGCTCACTGAACTGGTCCTTCAAGCTTAAACTGTCCAAAGCCTTTTGGGAGCCAAGGCAGGCCCAGGCCTGGCTCCTTTCCCTTTCCTTTCCTCCCTCCCGCTTCCCCCAGGTTGAGGAACCTGAGAGAAGGTATATGGGCAGAAGGACAGGAGAGGAGAATACTTGTTTTTCTGGGGATGGATTAGACCTGGTGGGAGGAAAAATCCAGGAGCCTCTGAAGGAGGGGAGGGTAAATAGGGGCATAATCTGTAGAACAGGGGAGGATGAGGGAAGAAGGAAACTGGGGAAAGGAGACACCACCACCTGCTGGCTTCCCTTCATGGTTACTTGTCATTTCCTCACTTCTCGAATTCTACTTGAATTCTACTGAAGGATCTGCCAAATCCCACCCCCCCGCCCCAGCTCTTCTGATATAGACTCATTTAGGTTGGAAAAGACCCTTAAGATCATCAAGTCCAACTGTTAACCTAGCACTGCCAAGTCCACCACTAAACTATATCCCTAAGCGCCTCATCTACACGTCTTTTAAATACCTCCAGGGATGGGGACTCAACCGCTTCCCTGAGCAGCCTGTTCCAATGCTTGATAATGCTTGAAGAAATTTTTCCTAATATCCACTCTAAACCTCCCCTGGCACAACTTGAGGCCATTTCCTCTTGTCCTATCGCTTGTTACTTGGGAGAAGAGACGGACACCCACCTCACTACAACCTCCTTTCAGGTAGTTGTAGAGAGCGATGAGGTCTCCCCTCAGCCTCCTTTTCTCCAGGCTAAACAACCCCAGGTCCCTCAGCTGCTCCTCATAAGACTTGTTCTCCAGACCCTTCACGAGCTTCATTGCCCTTCTCTGGACATGCTCCAGCAGCTCAATGTCCTTCTTGTATTGAGGGGCCCAAAACTGAACACAGTATTCGAGGTGCGGCCTCACCAGTGCCAAGTACAGGGGGACAAGATGAGCCCCCCTCAAACCCCATATGTGTAGTAACAGTGGAGGTCTGAGTAAGGATAGTGATGAAGTTGCAGCTCCCTGGGCATTGCAAGTTACTGCTTGTGAGTCATTCTGGACATTTGAGGCCTTCTTTACTGGAAGAGCTTTGAACCCCCTGTATTTTCCACACCTGGAGGGGAGGCAGAGTTGTGCCCTGGCCAGTGAGTCAGTATACTGCAGCGTGTCCTCAGTGTTTCTCCTTTTAACACTGGTTTACACTGGGTGGGGACTGGAGCACCCATTTTACCTGCTCATCAGGTGTCTGAAGTGCCAAGTAGAGAGATTTCCTTCCTTGCGCTCTGCCCTGTTGATTGTCCTTTATATCTTCCTTAAGTCTTTTTTTCCTTGCTTTTTAACACAGCAGAAGGCAGTGCATATTTGTCATAGGAACAGGTTGTATCAGTCTCTCTCTAGAAAATATCGTTGTTGCATCTGTAAGAGTTTGAGAAATGAATGGCTCTTAACAAACTGTGGGGACTCGTTGGTTTCCTACATCAGAGCATCCTCTGCTTGGCTGTTTTGCATGCAAAGGACTTCTTAAAGAGGAGGTGGCTAAAGTTCGATTTATTTTGCTTACTTTTTTCCCTCTACAGTGCCAGATAAGAGATGGTGGTTTTAAAGTCTGTGGTGATGGGAATGGAGGTGTTCTGGCAGAGTTCTCTTCTGGGGCAGCTGGAGCTTGTTGCAGAGCACAGTGGAAGTGTGTCCAATTCCTTGGACAGGAACTGAATAAATGTGTCTGAAAACTGTCCTGTCTACATTGACTGCACCTTTCTTATCTTCAGAGGTCTTCAGTAGCACCGCCCTTCTCTCCATATTACTTTTAAAGCTGCCCATTTCCTTTAATAAAAGCAGTCCCTGAGCCTTGAGGAAAGAAGCATGTTGTTCAACAGAAGCCATTGAAGAGTTGCTTTTAACAGTAAGAAGCCAGCGGCTTTGGGACTCGATAAAAGCAAAGCTAGTCCTTGTTCAGTTAAAATAATTTTTTCCCTATCTTGAACTTCCATGTGACTTGGAAATACCTTGCAAAAACAATGTCTAGCTGTACACAGGGTATTGGGAAGTCTCCCTAGAAGCTGTGTTCTTCTACTGCTCTTGTATTCCATAAGACAATATGAACATCACTTGTACGGGCCGTGTCAAGGATGCTAGTGCGAATAAGAGCAATAACATCCATCTAGTCAAAGATCCATTTTTAATAGAACCATCAGATTTTGTTAAAAAGGAAATTGATAAAATTAGTACTGATCCTACCAACATGCTACTGTTTAAATGAACTGCTACTGGTAGACAGCATCAAATCTAATCCAGCACTCAGACTTGAAAGATTGATGTAACAACTTCTAAATGGAAAAGAATATCCTGCAGCATTGGAGAGATTGTTTTGGTGCACATGCACTATTTTTTACGTTTGTAAAACATATGCACTTAAACACAAGAGAGTGAAAAACTCTCAAGATGTTATAGTATTAATTACTTACTATATTATAATTCAAAGTTAATTACTTTTTGAATTATAATATACAGAAAAAATAACCGCTTTCCAAACAGCTTTTGGCAATTCATATACTGAGTGGAATTCAGTTGCACAAGTACTACACAAATTTTGTTGCAAACTGTTTGAGATTACTGTGCAAGCAGTCTCTCAATTTGCTGTGCAGTGGACATGAGGAGAAGAGTTTAGTCCTCATTACGACACCAACCGTCCTCTGCTCCCCCCTTGCCATTACTTGCTGCTGCAGCTCCCCATGTACCTTAACGCAGAGCCTTCATTTGCCCCATGTTGTTCTTTGCGCACACCCTTAATAAATTTTCCCTTTCTACACACCCGTAACTGTAATTGGTTGAGAGTAGAAATGAATTCTGTTCAGAAGGGTAGTTAAATTTAAAAACGCTGTATTGCTTTTTAATGCGTTCTTTAAGTAGAAAATAACAGAGCTCTTCTGTTGCTTTGTGGAAGAGCCAGTCAAAAGATGAAGCCAACTGATAATATCAGGAAACAGTGAGCTACTTACGTACAGTGCTGATGAATGTATAAAGTGAAGAGGAAGAGATTTTTTGGGGCTCTTTTAGATGTTTGTATTGTAGGTATAAGGCAGATTAAATTGTTTGCACAAATTATTTTAAGTCATAATACTTGTAAAATGAATTTTTTCCTTCTTTTCACATCTGTGTCATGTTTTACATAGAGAAAAGGAAAGTGCTTCAGTCAAATTACCTGTATTCTTGCTACTGTTTTTTGGGTTTGTTCGGTGTTTTGGGGTATTTTTTTGTGTGTGTGTTTTTTTTTTTTTTTTAATCAGTGCAAATGTTTGTTCTGTTGCTTAGTCTGAGGAAAACCTGGATGAATAACTATGGATTTTGGAAAGTAACATGTATATTTTAGATACTAGTAGTAGGTGGCTCTCTCTTTATGGTTTTACTCAGTCTTAATTTAACCTACATGCAAAGCTTGTACATTATAGTTTTTTTGTGGAAGCCCACTGTATCTTTAGTACAGAGATTATTTCCTCTATCTATAGCTGTTAGAGTTCCCAAATGAGAACCACATGGATAGTTTGGTATGTTTTTAAAAAGGAACTTCATCTATAACATAGACAGGAAGGGTTTTGTCTGTTGTTTGCTGGTGAAGGAATGCTTTGTCTTGTTTAGTTTTTGTCACAGACCAAATTATTAATGTATGAGTTGTTTGTTATGCTTCCATGTGTCTTATTGTTTTCTTTGGCTTTTAGTTTTGTGCTAACTTAAAATGTTTTTTAAAAAACTATCCTTCCTTTGTGAAAAATGGCCTTCATATTCTTCTTTATCTAAGCTATATCTGCAGGGTTTCATGAGGTTTAATAATTATGTTCTATAGTGCTTTAATGAAAGGCTCTTTGCAAATGAAAATGAATGATCCTCTCCACATCATGTAATTGAAGATTTCAACCTCAGATTGTAGGTAGCATGGGCTTTCAAACGTGTATGAAAAATAACTTCATTTCTTTAATCTATTTCATCATGCATTTTATTCTTAAAGCAGCGCTTTCATAGTAGGTGGTATAAGTGTATTCTGTGGTTTGCCAACTACAGAATATTGCTGGTCCTTGCTCCAAGCAGCATTAAAAAACCCCCCCAAAAAACAACCAAAACCCATAAATCACCCAGATAATTGAAACTTGCCTGCTTTCATCTTATCTTTTTTGATTAATGTATAACAATATTCATTAGATATGGAAAGAAAGTGTATGCCTTAATGAGAAAGAAGTGGGAGGGTCATTTTCTTTGTAAAGAGTGTGGGTAGAAAGGTATATTGGGGCAAAATGCATAGTAAAAGAAAGTAATGAAAAGCAGACTGCAGAGAAGAACAGGTGATGAAATAGGAGGTGAGGTTTAGAAAGAGTAAGTACAAAAAAGGGACTCAAATAGGATTAATGTTGGGAGGTGGGAAGTTAAAGGCAAAAAGCGTGAACTTGAAATGCAAAGCCAGCACACGCAGGTTTTAAATGTGAAAATTGCATCATCAAGTAGTAAGAGAAGAAAGAAAGACTGTGGCAAGCTAAATCAGAGGGGAGTGACTTTGGATTCCAGAGACTGCAAGATTACTTTCTTTTCACACCCAAAGTATGGACAAGAAGTGGCAGGGTATTCAAAACTGTGGGGTTTCTCTGTGCTGTTGCAGAAGAGGGCTGTGCTTGCGCTTTGTGATGCTGCTTGCGTTTGCTCTGTACGGAGAAAAAGGAGGAGGAAAGAGGCAGAGAGAGCATCCGCCTGGACACTGATGACACTGACTGGACGGAAGGGGGGGAGGGCGGGGAAGCAGCTGCCTGCTTTCAGTGGTCTTTGAATGCTGTTACCTGATAGACCGTGAGCTAAAGACATAGAAGGGAGACAAAACTGAAGAGAGAGCTCAAAACATGTGACCAAAAGATTGTCTTCCTGGAGATGGCAGCAGAAATTGTAACAGCAGGATGGGTCATCTGGCCGAAAGGTAACAGGGACAGGAGAGCTGAGAATGATAGAAAGGGTATGCAAGAATTGCCTTTTTTCACTCTTTGCATAGAGAGTAATATAATGGAATTCTTTATGGTACAAGTGATTTGTAATAAAATTAAGGGAAGAGAGCTTAAAGACAAAAGGTAGTGGCGTGCTGTTGAAATTGATGGATAATTGGTAGCAGGGTTGGATGAGGTGGAAAAAATGAGGTCAGAAATAAATTACTGGAAGTCATGGTAGTAGAAGAAATTCTTCAAAGACGTGGAAGAGACAAAAGTATATTGCAGATAACTAGGAGATGATGAGAGGGCATCTGACGTTGTAGAAAGCCAGTGACAGTAGACAGAGCTCCAGGAAGGTAACACACAGTGTACAGGTACGTACATAAAAGTTCCAGGCATTGGTAGTTACTGGAGGTGCCTGATGTTAGGGTCTGATCTGCTGAAGGAGCTCCATCAGAGACAACAGGCTCAACATCAGTGCAGAGACTGAAGGAGACATGCTTGAACAAAGACTGAAATTTTGTGGTAAAGTATCTCAGGGAAGGGGAATAGGAAACCTAGATCAAAGTCATGAATCAGTGAGAAAAGGTAATCTGGGTGAGAGATGCAGGAGAGGTTTTCCGTGCAGTTGATCTGAGCTACCAAAAGATATTGGAGACAGAGCAGGGGATTGATAGAAATCGACAGGGATATGATGTAATCACAGAAGCCTGCAGGATCAAGAGTTTGAAGTGGATAGAGTAGGAGTTTTATACTAGACAGAAGGACATAGCAAAGGCAGTAAGTAATAGGACTGAAAATACTAATAGGATCAAAGGGCTAAAAACTATTGAGACAGGAGTTGGAGGCAGCAAGAGTAGACTCATCATTCACAGTAGGGGTTGGGCTGCTGAAATGTGAGGGTGAAGAGGTTGCCAGATGTGAATGAGGTATTGGGAGGAGGAAAGGAAGAGGGTGGTAGGTGATGGAACGTTGGGTGGGGAAGAACCAGGTTTTATCTGCTTGAAAGGAGGAAAATAAAAGGTGCTGAGATCATTGCCACAACAATAAACCACTGAGAAACTAGCAGAGGGAGGAGGTCGGAACAAAATGAGTGGAGGTCTTTGAGTGAGAGTTAGGAGGTAGTGGAGAGGGAGTAAGGCGACCATACGTAGCTGTAAGTTAAAGGTAGGGTGGGATTTGGGGAGGGAAAGAAATCTCCTCCTTGTTCTTCCCCATCTGAAAATCCTAACTCATCAAGCCATGGAGAAGAACGTGGGGGTGAAGGGAAAACAAAATAAATCCCAGAACAGCATGATCTGGGCACGCACTAAAAAAAAACCACACGGGGGGAGGGGGGGGGGAAAAAAAAAAGAAGATCA